AATGTTCCAAATTGTCTGAAAATGTTGTAGAGTATCTGAAAATGTATTTTTACTGAAAATGTTGTAAATTATCTAAAAATGTTGTAGATTGTCTGAAAATGTTGTAAATTGTCTAAAAATCTCGCAAATTGTCTGAAAATGTTCCAAATTGTCTGAAAATGTTCCAAATTGTCTGAAAATGTTCCAAATTGTCTGAAAATGTTGTAGAGTATCTGAAAATGTTGTATTTTTACTGAAAATGTTGTAAATTATCTAAAAATGTTGTAGATTGTCTGAAAATGTTGTAAATTGTCTAAAAATCTTGCCAATTGTCTGAAAAAGTTGTAGAGTATATGAAAATATTGTAAATTATCTAAAAATGTTGTAAATTATCTAAAAATGTTGTGAATTGTCTAAAGATATTGTAAATTGTCTGAAAATGTTGTAGATTGTCTAAAAATTTGGTAAACCTTTCACCAAATGTTTGTACACTATCTGCAAATATTATAAAATATTGATATATGTTGTAGATTGTTCATAAACGTTGTTAGTATTCTGAAAATGTTGTCGATTGTCTAAAAATGTTGTAGATTGTCCAAAAAAGATGAAAATTATCTGAAAATGTCATAAATCAACTAAAATTGCTGTAAATTGTTTAAAAATTTGATAAAAATATCTATAAATGTTGTAGTTTATCTAAAAATTTAGTAAAGATGTCGTTAAATTTTGTACATTGTCTGAAAATGTTGTAAATTGTCTAAAAAAATTGTAAATTGCCTGAAAATGTTGTAAATCATCTGAAAATCTTATAAATTGTCTTAAAATGTAGTAGATTGTCTACAAATATATATGCAAAAAATTTATTTGTATTCTTTAACCTGATGTGAGAGTCTTCGGGTTCAGTTCTTTCCTAGTGTTTGAGTCTCGACCTCTCCAGCGATAAGAGCCACTCATTTCACCTTTTTGGGTTGTGTTGAACCAATTGAACCAAGCCTGTGATGATAATTGTTTATTATTATTAGTTTAGTAATTGTTTTTTATATATCTAAACCCATGTTACCCACAGATCTGATTTATTATATTATTCTTCTTTTCATTATAATTTGTTTATTATATTTTACATATTTAATATGTATTGTTGTGTTTGTATGTATGTATGTATATGTATTTAATTTTAATATATTCAACACCCACATCTATAATATTACGTTATTTTTGGCTTTTTGTTTTTATTATATTTTATACTAATAGTAAATTATCTAGTGATATTTTATACTAATATCTAATAAGAATGTTTTCTTTTCCATGTATATTTTTAACTCATAATTTTGTATAAACAGATCGCAGAATAAAAACATTAATAAAAAATCAAGCCTTGCTATATTAATTAAAATAAAATTATATTTTTCATATATATATTAATAATATAAGAATATTCAATACCTGTAATCGTGGATATAATCTCTCCAATCGTTGCAATCTTGAATCCTCTATTAATTTTTCTGAATAATTTTCCAAAATAGATTTTAAAGTTAAAAAGAATGTTGGAGGATTTGCATTGGTGTTACGTTGTGTTACAAATTCATCAGGGACTTTGCTTAGGGCTTCAGATCCTAGAAAAAAACAAATTTATTGAAAAAATGTTATTTGGAATTTGAATCAACCTTATCATAGATTATTAATCAATAATAAATTGAATACAATTTTAAGTAAAATCTAAATATGTAGCTATATTATATATCTTCAGACTTTAATAAATTAATTATTTATTAAATAATAATCTAATGTGAGATTTAAATATTATTTTAATAACAAAAACATATAGCTATATTATATTTATTTTTAGTATTTAATAAATTATTCATTGAAGAATATAATCTAATTTTTTAGTTCTTAATTTAAATACTATTTTAATAAAAAACAAATTAGTTAATATTATATACCATTACTCTTTAATAAATTATTTAATAAAGAAAAGTCTTAATTGAGATTTTAATATAATTTTACTGAAAAAGACAAAAATATGTATTATAAATCTTTATAAAGATATAGATATAGATATAGTCTTTAATAAATTATTTATTAAATCTCAATTAATTTAGAAGAGATTTAGAAATAATTTTAAAAAGAAAAATCTATGGTTATTGTGTTTTATATATTATATCTTTAACAATATACCTAGAATCTGCTCTCGAGGTATCCATCCTTCAACATTCATTAAATCAAACCAATGTTCCATGATATCCAGAGATATATCTAAATCCCAAGTCGATATTAAAAGATTGTGAAATCCTTCATCCCATAGAAAGCCACGAGGAAAGAAACTCCTTTACAATATATAATAAGTTATATATATAATAAATAATATATGTGTATTTCTATTACCTAGAAGGTACTCCAGTATACAACGGAGCTTTCCAATAAGGCACAGGTTCTTTAGTATATTCGCTTTTAACTTTAGATGATCCATAAAAATATCCAACAGAACCTATCATGTTCGCTAAGCTTGCTTGTGCAAATGATATTTGTTTCTCTGAGAAGCTAAAATAAATATAAAAAATAGATTTATAGACTTAATTAAGTTTTAAAACACTATTTAACATTAATTTGAGTTTTAGTTATTATGTTCCAAATTCAATAGTATTTCTATTTACTGAATATATTTATTTTTTAAGAATTAATATTATGCTTACCCTTTCTTTTTAAGTCCAAATAAATCTTCAAACTTGTCCTCAAATTTCTTTCTATGCTCCTCAAGCACTTTTGTATATTCTTCACCTTTTAAATTATTTTCTACTTCATCGGTCTCAAAAACAACATCAAATTCAAATGGGGTCCGAACAGTTATTTGAGTTGCTATAAAATTTGGATCCACCTTAAAATAATAATTGAGAGAGTAAAAGTAAAGCACCATTTAATATAACTTATTCAATAATAAATATAATTGTTTATTACATACCATTCCTTCAGGTTCTTCTAACAATTCACCAGCCAAAGCAATGAATTTTTTTTGTTTATTATTTCTGTCAGTAACCAGACGTAAACCGGTCATCAGAGTATCTCGCAGAACATGCAAACCAGGAGTAATGGTGCTCAGGTAGGATTCGTGTGTTATAGTACCTTAATGTAAAAGAAAATTAAATCATTGAAGAAAAACTGACTAATAAGTGTTAAAAAATAAAATTTGTTATTATGTTAGTAATAATTTATATTTATTTATTTTTAAATATATAGCCCACAGATTTCTTCTAAGAGGACTCAAAAATACAATTACTTTACATAATGAATAGCAATTAAAATATATACAAAATTGCAATATACAGTTATTAACATTAAATTAGATATAATGCAGAATGTAGCAATAATATTTATATACAGAATGAGATAAAATAATGAGATATTTGAAAAGAAAATAAAAAGGTTAACTTGTGCAGATGGAGATTTTTTGATTGGGTGAAGTGTTGTGAATATCTATTTCATTATTAATTAGGTTAAAGTTAGAGGACATAAGTAAAATAGGCGAATTTAAGAGAGAATTATATTTAGGAGTAGGATAATTGAAAAATAATTGTGAACGCGTAGATAGCCTTTGGAACATTAAAGGATAGTTCGTTAAGAATAAAAGAACAGTCTATAGAATTATTGCAAAGTTTAAATAAGAACATAATTGTACAGATAAATCGACGTGAGGCAAGGGAAGGAATACCAAATTATTTTAGTAAAGTGTTGTGGTCAAAGCCACGTTAAGGGTAAATTTTATATGTTTTATAATAGAGATGTTTCAGAAATTTTCGTTGAATCTTCTCTATCGCATCAGAGTTGTTGATTTGATGAGGATACCAAATGATTCAACCATATTCTAATTTTGAACGTACATAAGAATAGTACAGGCAAAGAAGTGCTTTATTTGAATTGAACTGTTTACAATTTCTCAGCATCAAACCTAAAGATTTATGTGCTCTATTACAAATATCAGTTATATGATCTGTGAAAAACAGACCAGAATCAAATAAAACTCCCAAGTCTGATATTTTATTACATCTATCAATGCTGGCGTTAGAAATTTTATAATCAAAATGTATTGGGACTTGCACTTTAATATATTTAAATGTAATTTGTTATTGACACACCAAAAGTGGAAAAAGTCAAGTTAAGACTGTAATAATCTTAGGTATGTTAGGTATGGTTTAGGACAGCTAATAATCTTAGGTATGTCATTAATAAAAATAATAAAAATTAGTGGACCAAGAATGGATCCCTGAGGAACACCTGAACTGATAATTTCAATATTGCCCAAGAATCCAGTAAGATAGACAAACTGTTTATGATTATGAAGATAACTCTTGAAAAATTAAATAAGTGAAGAATTAAGACCAATCTTAGATAATTTAGTAAGATGAATGTTATGATCAATTTTGTCAAAAGCTTTACTGAAGTCAGTGTAAATGACATCAACTTATCCATTAGTGTCAAGATTCTCAGCTATATATTGTTTAATACAGATTAAATTTGTTTTTGTAGAACGGGCAGGCATGAATCCATGTTGATTAGTAGAAATTAAAGATTTAACAGAAGGAATTAGTTCTCTATAAATATTTTTTTCAAATACCTTAGCAAAGTTTGATAATAGTGATATCGGCCTTAATTAGTAATGTTTGATGTATCACCTTGTTAAAAGTTGGTACTAATCGTGCAATTTGCCAACAATTTGGAAAAGTGTTTGTATACAATGATAGATTAAATAAAAATGCAAGTGGATCAGATAGAGCAGATGAGCAATCACATATAAAGAAAGATATTAATATATTAATTGTATATAGAAAAAAATTAATATTATGAAAATAATTCTTCAAATTATTAATTTAAGAAAAACTGACTGATAATTGTAAATGAGTGTAATTTTTTATTATTTCAGTACATAATAGTTTATGTTTTTGATTTATAAAAGTCAGCTCATTGTTGTAATTGTAATCAATTGAATGTGTTAATTAGTTATTTTGAATTTTGGATTAAATATTTACCTGTATGGTTATATAGAGATATTGTAAACTCTCCGAGTCCTTTTGTATAACCCTGCATTCCTGTTATAAGAGATTTTCTTGCTGAGTATGTTTTAATTTCACTTGAACCTTTTGTGTCTCGTTCATCAAGAGCTGTATACCAAATTAAAGACACTTCTTCTTGTGTAGGTCTCTAAAATAAATATAAAAATTATAATTGTATTAAATACTTCCTATTAACTATTTATCACCATTGTAAAATATTTTTAATAACATTTAAAACTAATTTCAAGTATAATGCTAATAATTTTATTGCCTACAAATATTTATTTATATAAATAATAATAAATATTATTTCAGGCTCTTATCAAGCTTATTATTTTATTACCTTGCTATCAACAGATACCCTAGCTGTCCAAACCCCTCCTCGTGTCCCCAAATCAGGCATCTTCACAAAAGAAGTCTTAAATTCAAACTGCCCATCAATGATTTCCTGATACCCAAAATTCCTGCCATCGTGCTGCAACCAGCCGTACCTGGCTAATTCATCACTCTGCTCACACCAATGTCTGACACCATCGCCTCCAGGACGTAACCGTTGTGGAAAATACCACATAAGTCCGGTTACTAAAGATAACGGATCTCTTGTTTTTAAACCGAAGTAGGCACCTGGTCTGTAGCTGCCCCAAAAACGCTGCATGTCTTGACGGTCTGGAGGAGGCACCATCTGGGTAAAGGATAAATAACTAATTATTTATTTGTTTTATTAGATTAATTGTAAAACGTGTTAGGTTATGTAAACTTTTGTATTTATTTAATTGCTGGTTGGGTGTAAAAATAGTCATTTATATGTTACCTTTTGGTCATCAAAAGGAGTATTAACCCTAGTCTCCAAATAACCCATGTAACCAAATCCTAAGGCTACAAGTAAGCAAATGCATCCGACTAAAGTTTTCCATTTCGACATGTCTGTAACTTTATTATTGCTTGCAGCTTTCTTTGTAGCATTTTTTGGTGTATTAGAATTATTTCCATTTCGAGATACCTCTGCTTTTTCCACAACTGGGGGCTTGTTTTTGCGTTGCCTGGTCTGGATAAAACAGATTTATCAAAAACTCATATACATATATATATATATATATATATATGTGTGTGTGTGTGTGTGTGTGTGAAAACGCAATATTAAGTAAATATTTTTTTAAAAGGAGGCTTTTAGTAAAATCAATATTAATATGAGCTATGCAGTAAAACTTAAACTATAAATGTATATATATGGAATAAACTCATAATTTACCATTTTTAGTAATTAATACATAAAGAATATGATTTTATCACAGAATATTTGGTTCATTTAGAATCTGCACAAATTTTGAGGTTAGGGCACTAAAAAGCCGCAAATTTCATTTAGTAACATATACGTTATAAATATTATTTTATCTGTGCGTTTTAAGTTAAAAAATGCACTTATTGCATTTATATTATTTAATATACATATTTATTTCTTTATTTTACAATATTTTAGACATTGATTTGACAGTAGTAGCACTTTGACTTGACAGTCCACGTAAAGAGAAAAATGAGATTTTTTTAACTGTTTGATTTTATCTTATAATAATAAATTATAAAACAAGGAAATAATATAGTAATTATGTTGTAATTTATTTATATAATTGTAATTTCTATACTTTTTAGCATCAGTATGCCGCCAAATTTTATTGTTGAATTTCAACAGAACATCAGAAAAATGGCGCCCAATTCAAATGTCAAAATTAGAAAACATTTCAAGATTATATATTTATGAATTTTAAAATTATAAAGTTAATAATTTAAATATTTTGTATTTATATTTCAATTTTTAAAGTTTTAGCATCATTATGCCGCCAATTTTTACTGTTTAAACTTAGTTGTAAAAGTTGGAACATCAGGAAGTTGGCGCGAGATTCAAATTTGAAGATTAAATTTTAACTTATAGTATTTATTTAACATTTAAACATTATTTAAACATATAATACTTATAAAACATTATAGTATTGATTTAATAAATACTTAATCTCACCGTTAACTTCATAACTTACACACATTAATAGCGTTTTATGAATTCAAACTTTATAATATCAATAAAAATATTTATTATTAAATATTAATTACTGTATATACTATTCTATTAATATCAGCACAAATTAACTATTAAATTAATATGTCATTTCCAATTTCAAATCCCAACGTTTTTCTATGGTTTTTCCCTCCATCCCCACCCGCCGCCGAAGAAAAGCTCGAAGCGCAAAACAAAAATGAAAAGTGCGCCTTTTCCTTTTCGCTCTGGCTGACCCGCAAGGAAAGTCGTGAAAATTTTCAAAGCGTTATTTACACTTAAATAGTGAGTTATAAATAATAAATTATAGCTTTTTATAATCCTTGAGTGATTATAATCGCGTAGGTGTTGTAAGTTTTGTTTTTCTTGTAAGAAAAGTGTTGTTAAACTATATTTTTCTTAAGCTTGGAAAACGAGATGGAGACCAGGCCGAATTTTATGCAAAGTTTGATTGCTGAGGTGGATATTGATGATCGGGGTAAGTTTTATATTAATTAAATTTATTTATAAATTTTTTTGTGTTTAGAATCATGCATTTTTATATATTGCACGAAGATTATGATGATTTATAAATGGTTTTCATGAATTTTCTTTTAACATTTTTTGTCCATTGCACAAACGCCATTTTGATTTTCAGTTGTAAAATCCATTTTGTTGTATTTCATTTAGTGAAATGTTATAAACATTTGTTTATTGTATAAATATATATTGAATATCATTTTTTGTGTTTCTGAAGTAATTTTTAATAATTAAAAGATGTTGTACAATTGAAGGAAAGGAAGAAATTTCCATTGAAGTGTTTGCACAATTTTATCAGCAGAATATTATTAATAAAAATATATAGTGTTATTAAAAATAAACAATTGAACAATATTGTATAAAATAAACAATAAAATATATTTTTTCATGTTTTTTGGAATAACTAAAATGAGTTTTAGTAATAATAAAGAATTTTTCTTCATCGTACAAGAGTCGTACAAAATTTGAATTTTGTTGTACCTATTATTAATAGTAAATTTAATACAGTGATAATAAAAATAAAGATTTAAACTATATTGTAGGACATTTTTCTAATTTTTTGGAATATTTAAACTAAGTATTACTATTAGTACGGAAATTTTCTTTATCGTAAATGAGTCTCAAACAAATTTTGATTTTTGTTGTACATATTATTAATGGTAAATATATAATACAGTGATAATAAAAATAAAGATTTAAATTATATTGTAGGACATTTTTCTCATTTTTTAGAATATTTAAACAAAGTATTACTATTAGTACAGAAATTTTCTTTATCGTAAATGAGTCTCTTACAAATTTTGATTTTTTGTTGTACTTATTACTAATAGTAAATTTAACACAGTGATGATAAAAATAATGATGTAAATTATATTGTAGGATATTTTTCTTATTTTTTAGAATATTTAAACTGAATATTACTATGAGTACAGAAATTTTCTTCATCGTAAATGAATCTCGTTCTAGTTTTTCTTTTGTTGTATCTATTATTAATTAATATTATACAGTGATTATAAGAAAAAAGATTTAAATTATATTGTAGAATATTTTTCTTATTTCTTAGAATACTTAAACCGAGTTTCACTATTAAAAAATTTTTTTTTTTCATCAAAAATGAGCCTCGCACAAATTTTTCTTTTATTGTACCTATTATTAATAGTAAATATTATGTAGTGATAATAAAAATAAAGAGTCAAGTTTTATTATATTATTACTTATCATTTTTTGCATTTCTTAAAATAAATAAAACGAATTTTAAAATTGATATAAAAATTTGGATTGAGAATGAAATTTATTCATTGGATTGAGTATTTGTTAAATTTTTGCTATTGGGAAGATAATAATAATTATAAATATATTTATAGTGATAATAAATTTAAACAAATAAATCACTTTATATAAAATATATGATAAATTATAATGCTCATTGTTTTTCTTATTTCTTATAATAATTAAAACCGTGTTTCTAATGAAATTTCTTTATCAAATGTATGTACAAAATTTTGTCAGCATCAGAATATTATTTAATATATATTAATAACACAAATAAACAGTAAGATTTTATAAACTAATTAAATTACTTTAATTTTAAATTATATAAAGGAATGATTAAAATGGCTTTTAAAGCTGATACATAAACTTACTTCATCGTAAATGAGTTTTGTGCAAATTTTATTGCCATCAAATTAATAATATATATATATATATATATATATATCCATCTAATAACAAAAAAAAAATGAAAAGAATGTATTTATTAAAATAGCTTATGTTTCAAGTCACGGTTTGACTCATCTTAAGGTTCGATAAATAATATATATTTATTTACACAAAATAGAAAGATGCTATATAATATGTTTTTTTCAATGATTTTAGCATATAAATTTATGCCATTTTCAGTGTTGTTCAATATTTCATTTTTCTCATTCGGTTGGAATTAAGTTAATGTGATTTATTTCATTCACTAAATCTTTGCCTTTCTTTAAAATTTTTGAATCACTTTTGTTGATAGGATGTTAATTTTTAAATTCTATATGATTTCTTTTTTCTCGGATAAGTATTCAGGAATTTTTATTTTATTGATATAATCATAATTAATATAATCCTAAAGTTTTCCTTGGATGATCCTTCTTGAAATATAGAACTATTCGTAACATCATATTCATCGTTTATTTGAGTTAGTAAGCTTTGATTTCGTTGTGCAAATTATACATATGATACAAATTAATTTATTATGTTTGATCCAATAAATAAATGAATCCTTAATAATTTGTTACTTGATGAGACATCTGTTCGGTTTTCCTAAAACGAAAAAAATAAATATAAAAAGTAACAAATATGTATAATATAAAATAATAATGCTAATAAATAGTAATCTGTTTGAAGACAGGTAAATGGTGTGAGAGCAGCACCATCAAATCAATAATTACCTTTCCCATTAATAATTATTTATTATTCCCATTATCTTCAATCACTTTTATGCATTTTCCTTTCCAAACATACTGTTTACAAGCTCTCTGGTCTTATTCTTTGACTTAGTCGTAGAAAGTCATCAATCATCTACATTTTTCTTCCCAATCCTTTAAATCCTTTTATTTTACCTTTGGCTATATCGTGTAGGAAGCACTCTTTCTGCAGACTGAGTCTGATCCATTTTCCTTTTCTTTTCAGGATCATGTTCAATAAAGTTCTTTTTTTGCACACTCTTCTCAGGGCTCCTTCATTTGTAGCCTTAATATATAAATAACAAATAATATAAATAACAAATAACAATTTTGTTATAAAAATTTGTTAAGAAATATTTTGGATAAGATATTTAGAACTAATAAAAAAATCATAAAAACAACACCTATGGGAATTTTTTTCTTAAGAGCAGTTGATTTAACTTCCTGATTCTAGAGATTAGGACGGTGTATTTCTTAAGAAAGTGATCCAATATTCCAAACTTAATAATTAATATTTTTTTTATAATTAAACCACTTTTCGTAGACCTATAATATTTATTATAAAATGTTCGTTGAGCTCATGAACTCTTTTATGGGTAAAAAGTGTTATTAATATAGTAAAAATAAGGAAAGTTATTGGCATTGTCTGAAGAATTTATACTTTTTTGCAATTTTTGTGTCAAGCGATACAGAATGACTTGAAATGTCGAGAAGACATAAAATTAGCAAATCACTAAAAGTGATAATGACAAAAACTTCTTCAGAAAGTTGAAATTCATAGGAAATTGAATTTTAGATAATAGTTCATGTTATAATAATTAAACTAATAAATGTATTTATCTTCAAACAAATCAAAATTTGATTGTAAGTATAAAACTGAAATGTTAAATTAACTAATAAATTTATAATAAACAAGCTGTACCCGTTCACGCTTTGTCGTGATTTAGTTTAAATTAAAAAGTAGAACAAAGATGTGTATTTGTTACATTTAGTTTAACGTTATTACTATCTGTTCAACAAGTTACCTATTTAACAATTTGTCTACGAATTTACTTATCAACTTGTTAATCAATCTACCATTTTACCGGTTTACCAATTTACTTGTCAACCAATTTACCTATCGACCTGTTTATCAATACACCATTTACCTGTCAACCAATTTACCTGTTTAACAATTTGTCTACTAATTTGCCTATCAACCTGTTCAATCTACCATTTTACCGTCCTACAAATTTACCTGTCATTCCGTTCTACATGTTTTCCAATTAATTTGTCAACCTGTTTATTTGTCTATATATTCGTCTATCTATCAGTTCTCTTCTCTACGATTCTACATATTCTCCAATTTACATGCCCACCAGTTTACCTTTATAAATTCTCTAATTCACCTTATTTAGTTACGCATTATAAAAAAATTTAAGCTCAAATTGATTCTACGTTTTAGTTAGAAAACGTTTGTATGTGAAAAAGAAAAGGGCTGTTGTTAGGGTTATCCC